GCACCTCGATGTCTCGGATAATTGTAACACATTTTCTGTCAAGAAAAGGTTACTGGAACATAAATTGATATATATTCTTCTTAGCTAATTTGAAAAACTGAACATGAAAAACCAGCAGTTTATATTTCCCACTTGAATGCTACAACACACAATCATTACTAAGGGAATGCAGCATATAGCTGCCGCCTGTGGCTTTGGAAGTTTTGTTTTAAAATAAAACGTATGCAAGGCGTGTACAATGTGGACCATACTCACCTGGCCAAATAAAGCTGAGCAAAGTCTCTAAAGGTTATGACTACAGTGTTTTCATGACCCCAAGTTTAAAAGTAGTTAAAATTTAGGTGGAGTAGGATAAAGAGGAAAACTAACGTACATGTATGTTTATGCTCTCACTGTGAAAATACAACTGACCAAGAAAAGGAACATTCTTGCATTTATTAGTGAAATCTGAGCTCAGTTGCATGAAGCTAGGCAGATCAGGAATGTCAAACAAAGAGGATGTTGAAAATATTAGTTACCCCAGTCAGTGTACATTAGGGCTATGCTTGAAGCTTAAAACAGGATGAATAAGCTTAATTTACTGAATGCCTATATTTAGTGATGTTACCAATTTATGGGTATATAGTTACACAATTGCAGCTAAATGGTGCAGATGTCTTTTATTGTTCCAGTGCATTTGCGAATAAAATTGAAATTTAGGTGATAGGTTGTACATTAGAAAATTCACAGAAGTAGAAAGACACAAAACAAACTAACGATAAAATGAAAAAGCTTGATATTTAAATGATACAAACGCAATAGTCACAACAGAAAGAAATGAATGGAATAAATGGTTCGAATGCTGTCTTATAAACATTATTGCATACCTTAATATATTCAATAGTAAGGAGATCATCTTCACAATTGTCCAGAGTGGTGATAATATAAATGGGTTTGTCTTCAGCATCTGAAAGATATTTTATAATCAGAATATGGTGGATAATTTCTATGTACTTTCAACAAAAATACCTTTTAAGCGATTACAGTCAGAACTTAGTTTGCCAAATTATCTCTTTGGTTCTTTCAGTATTATCTATCTTTTTGAAGGAACAATAACAGCTCCATTAAACGGACCACTTTCAACCTCAACACTGTCCGACTGCCTGCCTCCAGCTTTGCCTCTGAATAAACAACCAAAAACCTAGTGTGTGCCTTCATCCTCCTGAAGCCTATATTCTCCAATGCACTTGCCTATCATGTTTCTTTTGTATTGCTGGGGGAAAAAAAAAAATTGTCGAAGATTTGTGGCTTGCACTTATCAGGATAATTCACAAGACCAGCAAAACTAAAGGGAAACCATATCTGAAGAGCACAGCATAATTTTGGTTATATTTTTGCTGCATAGCCATAAATTGAGATTCTGTATCAACTGCTCATACATCTTCCTACTGTCACCAGGCATGCCAGCAATCTTCGAAATGGATGTTTACATGGATGTTCTGACAAAGAGTACTCATTAAGGTCTCCCACTTTATAATGTTAAATGTGAGTGACGTGTTACTGGTAATATCAGTCGCTATCATGTACAATTCTAACAGGCACTGGATTTACATTGGCTGTCAATTTTTAAAGGTGGGATTACTCAATGACAAAAGCCCAAATTAAAAAATGTTCAATTGAGTTGAAATGCTTCAGTACCATCTGCATAGGGCAAATCATCTGTCTCATCTGAACAGGTGATTCAACAACCAGAGCAGGAGAAGTGGGTTATGGTTCATGGAGCACTAGAACCAGTACTGGGGAAACTGCAGGCTGCAGTGCAAAGAGAACGTACACCTGAACTGTTCTGGAGCTGTTGCAAGCTGCATAAGGAGGGAAGTAGAGAGGATGTTAAACTAAATCTTGGAGGAAAGGGATGAAATCTAGGGAGATGTGGTAAATCACAGAGTACAGACAAGCAAGGGAAACAGGTATTTATGTGAGAAATTATAAACAGACCATAACAGGAAGGGATAGATAGTACTAACCGAAAAGAGTACATTAATAGGTAAGGCTAAAGGTTACAAAAGTAATTAAAGCAAAGACGAGAAGCTCCATGACTGAACGCAGGTGGAATTCCACAAGAATATTTCAAAACAAAAAAGGAGGTTAACTGATTGTACTTATTTAGAATTATGCAATTTGATGAACATTGTGGAGAGTTTCAAGGGAGTATATATTGAGATCTGAACAGTGAAAGCCACGTGACAATAGGGAGTGCAGGAAGCTAGCAAAAATGGTGGCAAGGTGGTTCAATTAATTAATGACTGAATAATATAATACAGAGGGATGACCCAAGTTCAGGAAAGTAGAACGTCAAAGCAGTTTGAGTAGAAATTAGAATTGACAAAGGCAAGAAATCACTTGACAGAGTGGTGCACAGGATCACAAAGAGGAACCACATGATACGAAGGAGTGTAACAGAAGAAATATTGGGATCCTGTCAGAAAGGTGCTTATCATAGGGGATTTTAATCTACATAAAGACTTGAAAAATTAAACGGGCAAAGGCAAGGTAACCTAAGACATAATAAAATGTTTTCAGGATATTTTGTTTTAAGAATAAAATGTCCTGGAGCTAGAAAGCAGGATATAGATCCTGCATTGTGTAATGAGGTAGGATAACTGATATATCAATTTTCATTTCCTAAAATTCCCTATTTTCAGGAAGGTTTCTTTAGAAAAGAAAATAGTAAAATCAAGTCCTTTATTCAAAAAGGGAGGCAAAAGCAGAAAAACTGCAGGCCAGTTTGTTTACCATCTGCCAGAGAGAAGATTTTTGGAGCTACTATTAAAGACATCATAGAGGATCACTTAAAATTCGAGGTAAATCAGGCAGAGTCAGAGTGCCACATGAAAGGTTACTGCAGACCTAAAAGTTGTCATATTGGTATGAACAGAAAGTTGGCTGGTTAACAGGAAAAAGCAAGCAGGCATAAATAGATGTTTTTCTGGCTTGCAAGTTGAAATAAGTGATACGTCACTCAATCGGGCCTCAATTTTCTACAATTTTGATAAATGACTTGAATAACATTTGCTGATGACACAAAGATAGGTAGAAAAATGAATGGTGAAGGGGACACCATGAATCCAGGTAATTTAAAGGAGCGATCAAAGATTGAACAAATCAAATATAATGTGAGGAAATGCAAAACTATCTCCTTACACAAGGATATAAATGCAGTGGAACTAATTCAGAGAGGACTTAGTAGTCTAAGAAGACTTAGACTAATATGTAAAGTTGGCAGGTTGGCTTGTGAGCAAGAATTAAGTACACTAATCTTGCATCTGCTGGAATTTAGAAGAGTTAGAAGTATACAAGATCTTGAATCATCTTATCAGGGTGAAGATAGAAAGGGTGTTTCCTCTTCTGGAAAAGTTTAGAAATAGGGGTCACCGTTTAAAAATGAGAGGTCACCGTTTTAAGGCAGATGATCATTTTTTCCCACCAACAGTCCTGCATCTTTGGAACTTTTCCTCAAACGGCAGCAAAAGCAGAGTTTCTGAATATTTTTCAAGAAGAGATAGATATATTCTTGGAAAAACATGGAGTAAAAATATGAGCCACAATATTACTGGATCGTTGAATAGATTAAGTGGCCTACACTTGTTCCTAATTTATACGCTCATAATACATATACTGGTGGAGGACTTCTGTGGCACAGTGGTAGTGTCAATTCCCCTGGATCAAAAAGCCAGGTTCACATCCCACCTGCCCCAGAGAGTGTGTATTAACACCTCTGAACAGGTTGATTTGAAAAATAGATCAACTAAACAAAAGGTTTAAAAAAAAAACTGATAAAATGAATGACCAACTGACTGGTTCCACCATGTCCAATTTGAAAGGATGCACCCTGATGGATCAAAAAGTAACTTGGTGAATGATTGTCAGGAGCAGATTTCACGATAAAGTTTCATGAATAATCATTTGGTACTATTGTTGATAAAAGAAGACATCTTGATGTTTTGGAGAATGAGCTATTTAGATTATGACTTCCAGTTAACTGTTGAGCTTATTCGAATGTAAACCAGGCAGGCTGACTTTAATTGGTCAAGGCATTGCCCTGACAAATGTACCAGAGAATATCTGTCACCTGTTGTGCAGAATCAAAACATGCACAATGACGAGATCCAGACCAGAAACCTCAGAGAATCACCTTGGTTTTGCATTACCTTACTAGTCCAGTGACAAAACTACCGTGCCATCGCTTCCCCTTTACTGTTAGAAGATATTTAAGAAAGGAAAAGACAAAAAAAGGAGTAGCTGTATTAAGAATAATATTAGTCTTCACTGATAGTCTAGTGGTTAGGATTCAGTGCTCTCACCACTGTAGCCTGGGTTTGTTTCCTGGTTAAGGAAGGAGCATTTAAAGGGCAGCACGGTGGCTCAGTGGTTTGCACTGTTGCCTCTCAGCACCAGGGATCCAGGTTCAATTCCAGCCTTGGACGACACTCTGTGTGGAGTCTGAATATTCTCCCCTTATTCGCGTGGGTTTCCTCCAGGTGCTCTGTGCAGGTTAAGGGGATTGGTCATGCTAAATTGCCATTTACTATCCACGGATGTGCAGGTTGGGTGGGTTAGCCACGGGAAATGCAGGGTTACACGGACAGGGTAGAGGAGAGGGTCTGGGTGGGAGGCTCTTCAAAGGGTTGGTGCTGACTTGATAGGCTGAATGGCCTGCTTCTACACTGTAGTGATTCTATGATTTATAGTGCTTGAACTAGAAGTCTGGGGCAGGTGGGAAGGCACAGAACATATTTGGTCACAGGTAGCAAATAGAACTCCCAACACATCACTAGGTGTATTCAATTGACCAACTAATGGCAAAGATATGGGAGAAATAAATTTGCAAGGAAATTCAAGAAAGATGAAGCAATTAATAAAGAATTGTAACTCAAGGTTGCAATTATTCTAATTACAGACATGAACAGTAACAATGTAAAAATCACTCTCCATAATCTGGCAATTTTCAGATACAGGTATGTTGCCAGACAAGTAAAAAGAATTGAAACTGTTGCCCCCTTATTAAAAAAAGTATTAAGAATAAGCCAACAACTACAGACCAGTAACATTGGTGGTGGGCGCATTTTTAGAAACAACAATCCAGGGCAAAACTAACAGGTGCCTGAACACAAAAGTCCGGCACATAAGCATCAACTTGTAAGCTTTTCACTGTACTCATTTGAGCACATGAGAATAGCGCTCATTCTAATTCAATTAGGAAAGCAGCATCAATTTCTTAAGGGAAAATCAAATTTAATTAACTTCAGATTTTCGATGAGTTGATAGAGACCATTGATCAGAATGGTTGATGTGATGCTCCCAGGCTTCCTAAATAATTTAATAAAATACTATGTAACAGGCTTGTTAACAAAGTGTTGCCCGTGAAATAAAGAGATAGATGCAGCATGGATACAAAATAAGCCTACTCTCATCAACCAGTGCTGAATGGTGTTTATCGAGACAGAAGGAAGGTAAAGACTAGGTTTTCCCACAGGTCTGTGACAGCACATTTGCATTTCTTAAGGCACATTCATGACCCAAACTTAGTGAAGGGGGCCATTACTGCCCTTTCAAAATGTGTAGATAATACAAAACTTAGAGGATAGTGATCAACTTCAAAAGGGACATAGGCTGGTGGAATGTGTGGAAAAGGAGTTAAATTAAATTACAATAAGTAGTTGTTAATCACCACTAACGACTGCATGTGGCAGGACTGTGAACCATTTGATCCATTGGTTGTGGTGTTGCTTACCTGTCTAGCACATGCTGCTTTCTGGCTCGGTATGCATGTAGTCCTGTTTTGTAGCCTCACCAAGTTGACACTTTATTTGTCCCTATGTCCGCTGCTGCTCTCAGCATGCCTTTTGCAGTCTTTATTGAACCAGGGTTCAAGGGTGGACAGTGTGCAAAACCATACGATTCTGTTGTGGATGGTGGCCCATAGTAGCTCAGATGTGCAGTTTTGAGTTGCTGGATCTATTCAGAATCTACCCTAGTCAGCACAATAGCAGTACCACACAACACAATGGCAGGTATCCTCAAACTGAAGGCAAGACTTCATCTCCACAAGGACTGTATGGTTGTCACTCCTACCTATAATGTCATGGACAAATGCCTTCGCTACAAGCACACTGATGAGAATGCAGTCAAGTATGCTTTTCCCCCTCACCACAGGCAATAGACCCAGTACAGTAGTTATATTCTTTTGGACTCGGCCAACTCTCTCAGTTGTGGGAATGCTACCGAGCCCCCTTACTGAGGTTGAAGTACAATGCAGCTAATGTAGGTAGTAATCAGCATGAAGTCAGAAGTCACACGACACCAGGTTATGGACCAACAGGTTTTCTTGAAATCATAGGCTTTTGGAGTGCTGCTCCTTTGTCAGCAGTAGACACTGTTTAGATGGATTTTAGTAAAGCCTTTGACAAGGTTCTGCTTGGTAGACTAATTAGTAAAGTTAGGTCACATGGGATTCAGGGTGTGCTTGCCAATCAGATATGTAATTGGCTTAACAGCAGGCAGCAGACAGCCATGGTGGATGGTTGCTTTTTGGACTGGAGGCCTATGACCAGCAGTTTTCCACAGGGATCAGTTCTGGGTCCTCTTTTGTTTGTCATTTATATAAAATGATTTGGATGAGAATATAGAAGACATGGTTAGTAAGTTTGCAGATGACACCAAAAGCGGTAGCATTGTAGACATTGAAGAAAGTTTTCTAAGATTACCAAGGGATCTTGATCAAATGGGTCAATGGGCTGAAAAATGGCAGATGGAGTTCAATCTGGGTAAATGCAAGGTATTGCCTTTGGTACAACAAACAAAGGTAGGGCTTATACAAATCGTGGGAGGGCCCTTGTGTAGTGTTGTAGAACAGAGGGACCCTAAGGGTGCAGGTACATAATTCTTTAAAATTTATGTCACATATAGACACAATGGTTAAAAAGATGTTTGGCATGCTTGCCTTCATTGCTCAGTCCTCTGAGCATAGGGGTTGTTGAGGTTGTACAGGACACTGGTGAGGCCTCTTCTGGTCGCCCAGCTATAGGCAGGATATTATCAAACTAGAGAGGGTTCAGAAGAGATTTGTCAGGATGTTGCTGCAAATGGAGGGTGAGAGTTAAAAGAAAGGCTGGATGGACTGGGACTTTTTCACTGGAGCATAGGAAGTTGAGCGATGACCTAACAGAAGTTTATAAAATAACGAGAGGTATAGATAGAGTTAATAGTAGTTGTCTTTTGCCTAGGATGGGGAATTTCAAGGCTGGAGGCACTTTAAGGTGAAAGGAGAGAGATTTTTAAAAAAAGATACAAGTGGCAATTTTTTTTTAACACAGTGGATTGTTCACGTGCGAAATGAACTTGCTGACAAAGTAGTGAATGTGGGTACAATTACAACGATAGGCTAATGAAGAGGAAAGGTTTGGAGAAGTACAGACCAGGAGCAGACAGGTGGGACTAGTTTAGTTTGGGATTACGTTCGGCATGGACTATTCGGACTGAAGGGTCTGTTTGTGCTTTATGACTTGATGACTAAATACATCACTATTATAATCCACTGCATTCTGGCATGCATCTCATCAATTCTCATCACACTATAGCACCAATCAAGAAAATCAGAACTGGTCCACTTGTGAAATCACAGATTACAGGCCAAAATTTAAATGGCTACTCAAGACTAGATATAATGCAGCAATCTGGAAATTAGAAACACTTTATAAATTATTAACATTGTATTGCCAGAACTCAAGTCAGAAAATGAAAATTATAGCCAAAAATTTGAGTGTGTTATTTTTGAGCCTGGGTATTCATAGGTATCATTTGGTACTTTTGTTTTTAAAAAAAGCTTTCAAATCTTAATACAATTATAATATTGGAAAACTTCTGAAGTCTTTTTCATCTTACCTGTCTGCTCAGGGCATTTTAAACTGATTTCTTTCAGAAATGTGCGTGAAGTCATATCATACGTTCTGATTTTAAGCTCTGTACCAAGTCCGGCTATTTCCAGTTCTAACACAGGGGCTTCAGTATCCTCTACATAACGACAGATTCCCAGTGACATCTAGACAGATATTGTTGAAATAATAAAAATTAGCAATAAGTATATTTTAAGTCAAAAATTCCATATAATAATTGAGCTGGATCTACTAGCCCAATTTTTGAGTTCCTTTTTTAAAATGCCCTTTCTTAGGTTTTGTGTCAACTTTAATTTATACTATTGGGCAGCCAACAATATTTTGCATGAAGGAATTCAGTTGCGCAAAAATTTAATAAGTGACCCAGACTTTGCAGTCAGCAGTGAAACGAATGAAGATGACGATGACCTTAAAAAAGCTGCTCACAATCTAATAACTGTGGCAGTGAAAACCTCCCCTTTCCTGACTGCCATCAAGTCAAGCTCCGCAGCAATAGTGACAGCAACAACAGGGTAACCAACCAATCACGTCGAACAGAGCAAACCATGAAGCAAAAAGCACACAGTCCTTCAATTTCAATAAAATTTTCAGACAATTAAATAAATTGTTTTGATTATTTTAGATTCTTTCATTCAAAGACGTACAAATCTGTGAAAAAAGTGAATCTTTCAAAAAAATCATAACTGGAGAAAAAATTGACCATTCAGAAATATAGGATTTGCTTGTCAGGAGCTTTTGAAGCGGTTAAACATCAAATATATCCTTAGAATGCCATTAAAAACCTAACTATACCTCATTCAACAAGATAAAACTTTAGTTTCAGTTTTTTTTTAAAAAACAAGGCTGACAGCACAAGAATGGATTTGGTTCTCGGTTCAATGACTTCCCATTAACTGTGGTGTTCTGCGGTGGGGAGGGGCGGGGTTACGTTGAGTCCTTTGTACACAGCAGCCACAGAAATCCCCCATGGTGCTGCATCTGGGCCAAGCACAATGAGCCCCCTAGAGGCCCAAGCCTTGGTTAGTGGGCTGTCATGTATACCCTTTATGGGCCTTGTCTTTATAACTGACCCTCCAGAGAAGCAGTGGTAGCAAATTCTGGAATTTCACACAGTCCCGTGCATGTGTAGACTCCAGAAGTTTCAGATATAAAGAAACTCCTCTGGGGACAGAGCAAGAAATTGATACTCTATCAAACAGATGGCCTAACCTCACTGGCTGAAAGACATTTTTTTTGCTATATTATTCTAATGTTGGGAGAGGCAACACAAAAAGAAATCTCTCCCATTTTATAACTAATTCTGGAGATCAATGGTATATTACAAAATGTACTGTGACCATAATATCAATTGCAATTTGTAGAGTGTAGCTGTTATGGCTGGTTCTATTCAAGCCTTTTTTTTCCAAAACTATTATTCATGCACATGACAAGAAGGTACTTGCTTTAAAAGGTTGACTATGCTCCCAGGAGGCCAGACCTAATCAATGAGCATAGATATTTTTATCAAACTGTTCAGAGATGCTGTTATTATATATCTCTGGAGCAGGTGGGACTTAAACCTGGCCCTACCACAATGCAAGAAAGAGCCCTAATCAGTGAGTGTAGGTATTTCCTAGTCAACCTGTGCAAAGATCAATGTTATTAAGGCCACATTTAAAAGGTACAGAATGAGATGGCTAGTAGTTTTAGAAAAGTTATTACCCAGCAGGATCAGTCAGATAGATGGGTGACTGTCAGGAAAGGTAAGAAGGTAGTTCAAAAGTCTCCAGTGGCTAATCCTCTATCAAATAAATATTCAGTTTTTGGAACAGTTGAAGGGGATAGTCTCTCTGAGGAAAATGGAAGGGCCAGTCAGTTATTGGACACTCGAAACGATTCTTATGTTAGGCAGCGTTTGACAAGATTTAATAGAATTATTGTTACAGGGGACTCTTCTGTCAGGGGCATAGATCGGCAATTATGTGGCAGCGAGTGTAAACTTAGGATGGTTTTTCGCTTTCCTGGTGTTAGGATTAAGGATGTTTCTAAATGTTTCAAGCATATTGTTAAAGGTGAGATTGAGAAGCCAGAAATTATTCTACACATTGGTAGGAATGGCATATTTAGGAAAAAAAATTAAAGCAGAACAGAGTGAATTTAAGAGGTTAGGTAGAAGATTTAAAAAAAAACTTAAAAGTAGTGATTTCTGGTTTACTCCCAATGTCAAACTCAAACAAGGGAAGGAACAAAAGGTTAAAAGATGATAAATCAATGGCTGAAGAGCTGGTGTATTGTTCAGGGATTCAGGTTTTTGGACAATTGGAATGTCTTTTAGGATAGAAAAGACCTGTTCAAAAAGAATGGGTCTAACCTAAACTGGAAAGGGACCAATATCACGGCAGGGAGATTTGCTCATTCTATTAAGGGAGACTTTATACTGATAGAGAAGGCGAGTGGAGGAATTCTAGCAATACAAGTGGAAGGATTGATGGGGTAGGTTCTGAATGTGAGGAGAGCGCATCAATTGGAAAAGAAAGACAAGAGAGAGCCAGAGTATATAGTAACTCTGAAGAACTAAGTTGTTTTTATTTTAAAGTAAGGATTTTACAGGCAAGGTTGACGAATTCAGGGCATGTTTAAGAACATGGGATTAGGACATCATTGCTATGACAGAAACTTGGCTGAGAGATGGACAAGACTGGCAGCTCAATGTTCCTTGTTTTAGATGCTACAGGAAGGATAGAATAGGAGGCAAGGAGAGGACATGGCATTTTTCATTAAGCAATACATTACTGCTGTATCTAGGGAACATATTTCTGAAAAGCTGTCCAGTGAAAATATGAATAGAAATTACAAATAAGGAAGGATGGATCACTTTGATGGGATTGTGCAATAGGCCCCCCAACAGTAAGAGAAATTCAGAAACAAATATGTAGGGAGATCTCAGATATATGAGAGCATAATAAGGTTATGAAAATGGGAGATTTTAATTTTCTAAACATTGACAGGGACTATCATAGGTTTGGATGGCGAAGAATTTTTCAAACGTGCTCGAAAAAATTTTCTTTATCCCTATGTGGATGCTGACTAGAGAAAGAGCAAAATTAGACCTCCTTTTGGACAATAAAGGCAGGGCAGGTGAATGAAGTAAAAGTTGGGTAACACTTGGGGTCTAGCGATCATAATTCTATTAGTTTCAAAATGGTTATGGAAAAGGATAAGCTTTCCACAGAAGTTAAAGTTTTTGATTGGAGTAAGGCAAATTTTAATGGTATGAGACAAGAACTTTCAAAAGTTGATTGGAGTTGACTGTTGGCAGTTAAAAGGATGTCTGACAAGTGGGAGGCGCTCAAGATAGTGTGATGATGAGAGTTCAGAGGCATTTTGTTCCTGCTAGGGTGAATGGTAGGGTTGGTAAGATTAAGCAACAATGGATAAATAAAGATATTGTGGTTCTAGTCAAGAATAAAAGTCAACTTTTTTAAAAATATAGACAACTTAGTTCAATTGAATCTCTCTTAATCAATATAAAGTGTGTTGGGGCATTCTTGAGAGAGAAATCAGGAAGGCAAAGAGGGCATATGAGACAGTACTGGCAGATAAAATTAAAGGATAATCCAAAGAGATTCTACAAATACATTAAGAGCAAGAGGGTAACTAGAGAGGGGGTTGGGCCCCTTAAAGATCAGGGAGGAGGTCGTCTTTACATTCTTATCTCCTGAGGTTCAGAGATACTAAATGAATATTTTGCATCAGTTTTTACTGTGGAGAAAGAAAGAGAGTCTAGAGAATGCAGAGAAATAAACTTTGATGTTTTAAAAACAGCTCACATTACAAAAGAGGAAGTTTGGGAGGTCTTGGAGAATATAAAGGTGGATACATCTCCAGGACCTGATCGAATGCCTCCCAGAATGTTGTGGAAAGTAAGTGAGGAAATTATGAGACCCCTTGCAGAAATATTTCCATCATCTATAACTACGGGTGAGGTGTCTGATGACTGGAGGGTGGCGAATGTTATACCTTTGTTTAAGGAAGGTCATAAGGAGAAACCAGGGAACTACAGACCTGTGAGCTGACTTCGGTTATGGGTAAATTGTTGGAGGTGATTATAATAAGATAGGATTTACGGACATTTAGGGAGGCAAAAACTGATTAGGGATAGTCAGCATGGTTTTTTGTGAGGAAAATCGTGTCTCACAAACTTGATTGAGTTTTTTGAGCAAGTTACCAAAAAGGTTAATGATGGCAGAGCAGTAGACGTTGTTTGTTTAGATTTTAGTAAAGCCTTTGACAAGGTTCCGGTTAGTAGACTAATTAGTAAAGTTAGGTCACATGGGGTTCAGGGTGAGCTTGCCAATCAGATATATAATTGGCTTAATGCTAGGAGACAGAGTAATGGTGGAGGGTTGCTTTTCAGACTGGAGGCCTGTGACTAGCGGTGTTCCACAGGGATTGGTTCTGGGTCCCTTTTTGTTTGTCATTTATATAAACGATTTGGATGAGAATATAGAAGACATGGTTAGTAAGTTTGTGGATGATACCAGAAGCAGTAGCATTGTAGACATTGAAGAAGGTTTTCTAAGATTACCAAACGATCTTGATCAAATGGGTCAATGGGCTGAAAAATGGCAGATGGAGTTCAAGCTGGATAAATGCAAGATATTGCATTTTGGTACAATAAACAAGGGTAGGACTTATACAATTAGTAGTAGGGCCTTGGGTAGTGTTGTAGAACAGAGGGATCCTAAGGATGCAGGTACATAATTCTTTACAATTTATGTCACATATAGACACGATGGTTAAAAAGGCATTTGGCACAGTGCCTTCATTGCTCAGTCCTTTGAGCATAGGCGTTGTTGAGGCTGTACAGGACATTGGTGAGGTTCTTCTGGAATACTATGTCCAGTTCTGGTCGCCCAGTTATAGTCAGGATATTATCAAGCTGGACAGGGTTCAGAAGAGATTTGCCAGGATGTTACTGCATATGGAGGATTTGAGTTATAAAGAAAATCGGATAGACTGGGACTTTTTTTTCACTGGAGCACAGGAAGTTGAGAAGTGACCTAATAAAAGTTTATAAAATAATGAGAGGTATAGAGAGTTGATGGTAGTTGCATTTTCTCTAAGATGGGGGATTTCAAGACGAGGGAGCTCATTTTAAGGTGAGAGGAGAGAGAGATTTTAAAAAGACATGAATTCCAATTTTTTTTTTTTTTTTTAAACAGAGGGTGGTTCGCTTGTGGAATGAACTTCCTGATGAAGAGGTGGATGTGGGTACAAGTACAATGTTTAAAAAACATTTGGATGGATATATGAATTGGAAGGGTTTGGAGGGATATGGGCCAGAAGCAGGCAGCAAAAGCATGAGAAAACCACCACTTGAAAGCTCCCATGCAATTCACACACCGTTCTGCCTTACAGAATTATAAAGCCCCGTTCCTTCATTGATACTGGGTCAAAAACCTGGAATGCCCTTGCCAGCAGTGCTGTGTTTACCTACATCACTTGGACAGGTATCACAGTGATAGACAATAAATATATCCCTCGTCAATAACATTACATTGTATGAATAATTCATTTCACAAATTCAAAATTTGAAGTGTGCTATCCCAATATACTTTTATACAGTGCAGGACATCTAGGTCAGAGTATTAATCTATCCAAAAGATGGCCAAACGGCAACAAACTGTGTTTCAGGGTAATCTACAATTAATTGCTTGGTAGTACAGAACTTAAACTTTGCTAAGAGATGTGAAATTAAAGCATTTAGTTTTTCATTCATCAGGAGTGAAAGGCAAGAAAACCAACTGGAAGAAGAGAATAATTTGTACAGCCTAAAATGTTGGTTCTGATTGCTTGAACTATGATTAGCACTAGGTTTACAAGTTAAATTCAACCTGGCAAGGTGACACCAATTGATTAAAGCACTGCCATGGGGAGGGATATAGCCAGTCGCTGCTCCATAACCCTTTCCTCATTTTGTATAATCGTTATTCTCCTCTTAAAATTGGCTTTACTGTGTTGCAGTCCTTATGAATGCAAGACAAAAAGCTTTGGTTACATGTCTCTTTTACTCATGGTGAATACCTAGTTAGAACCAAATGATCAGATAAAAAGGACAATACACAACACAAGAAACATTTGCTGAAACAACAACTTGTATTCATATGTAACCTTTCATATAATACAAATATCCTAAAACACGTCACAGGAACGTCTTGAAACAATAATTGATACAGAATCTCAGAAGGGGTTATTATTTTTGTTTCTGTGAATAATTGTATTTTCTAATTGGATGTTAAACATTAGGCATATAGGAAGAAGAGCTTCCTTCAAAGGGCCCCTTTTCTATCCCACACACATCGCCACCATGGGTACTCTTATTCCCTTCCCCCAGGTCCATTTGATTTCTCAATCAAGACACCTATATCTGGTATGAGAACCCGTACTTGCCTGCTCCAAGACTCTGGGACTTATATCTGGTTACTGTGTTTCCAGTCCTGGCCACTACTGTTATTGACTGCAGCGCTGCTCCCAAGTAGATGGGCTAGCCCCTTTCTGAGGCGGGCTTGCCCCTTTGAGGTGGGCTTTCTGCCTGAGTGAGAAATGTAAGTTGGATCTCCAGCCAATAAATGCACCTAGAGAAATGAATGGCTGCAGGGTGCCATGATCAGCAGGGATGCATTCCCCTCTGACTCTTCAGGCAGCGAGGTGGGGAACCCAGACATCCAAAAAATCCCACCTCAGGGTTAGGGTTAAAAAACAGGTGTTGGCAAAATTATTGTTCTGAAAATAAGCCTGAAGCTTTCCAAAATGAGAACTTAGTTCAACATCAGTAAAATTTCAGGCATTAAAAAGGAAAAGCATGTCTTGAATAGTTAAAATAATTACCTTTGATATTTCAAATTGCATTTGGAAGTCAGTCATATTTTTCATAGATTCTTGCTTTCTCAATTGTTTCTGGCGTATACTTTCTGACCTTTGTAATGAAATAGCTTTGGCTGGCAGAAATGGTGCTTCATCCACAGGTGAGCTTGGAGCATCATAGAATTCATCGTCTGAATCTATGAAAGTTAAATCTGGTTACAAATTTTGCATAGGGAATTTTAAAACAGACAAATGTGCTCTATGGGGAAAAATGAATCTTTATTAACAGAAATGCAGATATAAACAAGATATTCTTCTTGAAAACTTAATTCAGTTCATTCTGTTTGAAAGTAAAGCTATTTTTACCATTCAATAGTATACTAGTTTAAAATTTCCTAGCTCACCTCCAATAATCCCCAACCTTGAATGGAATTTTTAATGATGTATATAAACTCAATAAGGGAATAACTTGTTTCCACCAAATCCTATGACGGATAGGGATACAGACCAACCAGGAATAACAAAATCGTGGATTGTGCTATTTTAGAAATCCGCTACCAGAGAGGATTGTGCGATTTGTTGGGGCCCATCAAGTTGGGGGAAAAATAATTTGGGTCTGGGGCCAACCTTGTGAGTATGTGGATCTGTGGGTAGCAAATTAATTTATGATGCAAGAGGACTAAGTGTATTCTGAAGTGATATGAAACATGGCACAATGTTAATAAATGTTACAATATTAGAATCATAGAATCCCTACAGTCTGGAGGGACCTCCCAACAACCCGTAGCCTATTCCTGTAACCCCACATTTACCATGGCTAATCCATCTAGCCTGACCATCCCTGAAAACTACTGGCAATTTAGCATGGCCAATCCACCTAACTTGTATATCTTTGGACTATGGGAGGAAACCACAGCGCCCGGTGAAAACCCACAGACAGTAAAAACTGTGGCTTGGTTATGAGAAAAGAAAAATACTAGCAGCAACTAAGAGATAATTTTTGACAATATAAAGCAAGTAATATTAGACTCAATTTCAGAAAAGCAAATGGCTAAAAATAGGGAAAAAAAATCAAAGGCACGCTAAAATGCAAGTTAATAGGTAAAATTACAAACAGAACAGAGGATATAAATTTTAAATGCGAATGAGGGCTATGCACTATATGAAAGTAAAGCATGTTTGAACTTTAGAGATAGTAGGAACTGCTATCGTAGGACTTTACACAGGTTTTCTACAACAACTGAGATTGTCTCGGTTACTTAACCATAAACTAATCTGGATTTTAGTTTATTATCGAAACATTCTAATTTTCAGGTGTTTCACTTTCAGGAACATATGCCTTCTTTCAGAAGCTAGTAGTTTATGGATAGTCATGGACTAAGTTAGAGGAAGACCAAGATTGAAATGGTTTAAAAATTTGAAAAGGGATTCTGAAAATAACCAAAAATATATTTGATAAAGGCCCACAAAACAGATTATCAGTAAAGGAGAAGCTCTTGGAACAAATGGAACTGTGGCAGCATAGATACAAAGATTGCTAACTTCCAGTTAAAAGTGACGATGCATGGTTGTTGTTTGGGCTTAACACAATCAATTTTCCCAGGGGATGGTACTCAAGAGTTGCTACCGATCTTGATTTAGGCATAAGGGGCATATTTTCTCAAGAGTGAAACCTGGCTTGATAGATCGTAAGTTTTAGTTTTGCAGTTTGGTTACCTTGCTGTTGAGTCCCTAACACATTCACACAGAGCTATCAATGTTCTCTTAACAAAAGAACATAAGTTTATAATACAAAAAAACTCAATTCAAGGTAATTTAGAAACATCTTAAATTGTAAAATGATTCAACCATCTTTTTCCAGCAATTTATTTTACAACATCGCAATCCCAGTGAAGTTTCACTGCTATCTTAATTCTAGTTTTTCTATTCAAAATTACTTTTCTTAGTCATTCTCCTTGGAGTACTGAAGGGCTCATATACTTCTTTCCAGCTATGATGGACCTGAGACTTCTATCAACTCTTACAGTCTGAGATTCCTACAACTGCCCACTTGATAGTTGAGTTAAGAAGAAGAAATGTCATCTAACCGTCTGTTTCTTTAACAGGATTGGACAAAGTCAGCATGGATTTTTGAAAGGAAAATCATGCTTAACAAATCTACTGGATTTTCTGAAGATGGAAAACAGTAGAATAGATAATGGAGAACCCGTGAATGTGATATATTTGGATTTTTAAGTAGTCTTTTGATAGTTCCACAAAACAGTGAGCCACATAGAATCACATGGGACAGGGGATAATATATTGACAGGGATTGAGACTTGATTGACAGACAGGGGTCAGAGGGAATAAATGAGGTCTTTTTCCAAGTGGCAGGTAGTGACAACTTGGGACCCAGCTATTCATGACAGGAAATAAACCTAGATGAGGGAACAAAATGAAACATTTCCAGGTTGGCTGGTAATATAAAACTGGGCAGGATTGAGAGTTGTAAAGAGGATGTAATGAGGTTTCAAGGTAATTTAGTCAAGTTGAACACGTGAGCAAACACATGGCAAATACCAGTTACAACATTAGCACTGAAAGGAAGGGCATTATTTAAATGGTAACATATTGTGAAACGTGGAAGTACAAACATTTCTAGGCGCCCTTGTACACAAGTCAATAAAAGTAGACAGACAGGTGGAGCCAGCAATTAGGAAGGCAAACAGTATACTGGCCTTCATTGCAACAGAATACAAGTTCAGAACTAGCAATTTCCAAGGCAGTTATACATGGCCTTGGGGACATCATACTTACAGTACATTTGAGTTTTGTTAAGTCCAGTAAGCCAAAAGCAAAAGTTTGTCTTGGGTGACTGGGATAACTATCATTAGATAGATCGTTGGTGTATACAAAGCAGACTTCAGTTCAAACAGAAGTAAACTTTGGCACTCAGCCCAAGGAAAGTGGAAATCAAAGGTGAAAATGCAATAACCTGAAGGGCAACATGTTTCAGCTTGGGTGCAATTCTATTTCACAAAACAAATGGAGTGACTCATTGACTGGTTCATTTCAGTTCTACAGTCAATTCACACGGGCTCTTTGTTACTCAAAGCAGCTTTTATTCTTTTCATGCTCTGAAATTTTTAAAATTGATACTACAAAAATAGTAAAGATAGGTCTGTAAAATATTTAAATTGTGAATTAGTTTGACAACAATTATAGAAGGCTGTTAACACTGCAAAACATCCATTAATGGCTTTGATAAAGGAATAAAATTAATCATGTGAGACGAACAACAACTACTGAAAAAAGTGCAGAAGTAAATTAAATTTTTAGGCAGAATAATGACACATTTACCTAAACTTGTAGCAAATGTTCTCTACTTTGGAGTCAATTCAAGAATTGCAGGTGGAAATACAGTACAAAAATTGAAGCATGGGGGTTGCAGGAGCCGAGCGAAAGGTTGAAATACACAGATGCACGGGATTAACAAAGCAATACAGATGCATTAGTACACTACATGGTCCCAAAAGCAAAAGCCAATGGGATAATAAGCTTCATCATTAGATATAGAATATAAAAGATGTGGTCAAACATCATATAGGACACATTGTTTTGAGTACCCAACTTTACAAGATTACTGTGCCTGATACATCAACATGCTTGGTGTGAAGGGATTTAATTGCAAAGAACTGGACAAACTTAAGTTACATTCCCTACAATCAAGTATGTAACTGGGCAAGACGATAAATATAAAAGAAACAATGATTAGCAGTAAAAGTAAATCCAGCTAAATCCAGCTTCTTATTCAGAAAGTCAAAAGGTAGAATGAACTGTCCCAAGAAAGACAGACACGAAATTAGTTCATGTATCAAAAGGTGGCGCATGTTTACTTGGAAGGTGGAGATGTTGCAAAAGGGTTTGTATCTTAATGCTATATTCTTGCAAATCTTACCTGCCATACTCAGAACAGAAGAGTATAGGTCCTTGTGTACTGCTCTTTTTTGAACAGACCGTGGCGTCATATTAGGTGATACTTTCTGCGTCTAAACAAATTTCAAACATCAAATGAGAAAATTAACTAGACTCTAATTATAGTTTCCAATTTACTTCAAAACATATTTACCCTTCAAGTAAATCCTGGAAAAATTATTCATCCCAGAGAAATTTACAAAAGGGTGTTAATTTAAAATTACTCCAAAATAGTAATTTGCATTAAGTTAAATATTATATTCCCCATGCAGATGGCCTAAAGAAGGCCCTCCGCTTCTTCCTGTCCCGCAGGCCCGACCAGTTCCCCTCCACTGACACCCTCATCCGCTTAGCTGAACATGTCCTCACTCTCAACAAATTCTCCTTCAATTCCTCCCACTTCCTACAGACAAAGGGGGTGGCCATGGGTACCCACATGGGCCCAAGCTATGCCTGCCTCTTTGTAGGATACGTGAAACAATCCCTCTTCCAAAGCTACACTGGCCCTATCCCCCACCTCTTCCTCCGTTACATTGATGACTGTATCGGCGCCGCCTCGTGCTCCCACGAGGAGCTCAAACAGTTCATCCACTTCATTAACACCGTCCACCCCAACCTTAAGTTCACCTGGGCCATCTCTGATACCTCTCTCTCCTTCCTGGACCTCTGTCTCCATCTCTGGCATCCACCTGGAAACCGATATCCATTTCAAACCTACCAACTCCCACAACTACCTAGAATACACCTCCTCTCACCCACCTTCCTGCAAAAAGGCCATCCCCTGTTCCCAATTCCTTTGCCTCCACCACATCTGCTCCCGAGATGAGGCATTCCACTCGCGGACATCCCAGATGTCTTCTTTTTTCAAAGGACCGTAACTTCCCCTCCACAGTGGTCGAAAATGCCCTCGACCGTGTCTCCCGCATTTCCTGCAACTCATCCCTCACACCCCCTACCCACAATAACCAAAACAGAATCCCCCTCATCCTCACGTACCACTCCACCAACCTCTGAATCCAACGCATCATCCTCCGACATTTCCGCCATCTGCAATCTGAGCCCACTGCCAAAAACATGGTTCCCTCTCCACCCTCATCTGCTTTCCGGAGGGACCACTCTCTCCGTGACTCCCTTGTCTGCTCCACACTCCCCTCCAGCCCCACCACACCCAGCACTTTTCCCTGCAACTGAAACAAGTGCTACACCTGCCCTTACACCTCCCCACTCACCCCCATCCCAGGCCCCAAGACGACCTGCCACATCACAGATGTTTACCTGCACATCTGCTAATGCGGTATACTGTATCCGCTGTTCCCGTTCTGGCCTCCTCTACATCGGGGAAATCAAGCGGAGGCTTGGGGACCGCTTTGCGGAACACCTACGCTCAGTTCGCAACAAACAACTACACCTCTCAGTCGTGAACCATTTCAACTCCCCCTCCCAATCCTTGGACGACATGTCCATCCTGGGCCTCCTGCATTGCCACAATGACGCCCCCCGAAAGCTGCAGGAACAGCATCTCATATTTCGCTTGGGAACCCTGCAGCCCAAGGGTATCAATGTGGACTTCACAAGCTTCAAAAACTCCCCTCCTCCAACTGCATCCCAAAACTAGCCCAGCTAGTCCCCGCCTCCCTAACCATTCCTCCCACCTCAAGCCCCACCTCCATCTCCTACCCACTAACCTCATCCCGCCTCCTTGACCTGTCCGTCCTCCCTGGACCGACCTAGCCCCTCCCTAACGCCCCACCTACATTCACCTTCACTGGCTCCATCCCCACCTCTTTGAGCTGTTTGTCTCCTCTCCACCTATCTTCTCCTTTATCCATCTTCTATCCGCCTCCCCCCCTCTCCCTATTTATTTCAGAATCCCCTTCCTCATTTCTGAAGAAGGGTCTCGACCTGAAACGTCAGCTTTCCTGCTCCTCTGATGCTGCTTGGCCTGCTGTGTTCATCCAGCTCTACACCGTGTTATCTTAGATATTACGTTTTGTTTGCAAAACATGCTTTCTACAACGAAGAAGTTACTACTTTTTGACAGCATTCTGCACATATTTCACTTGAAATGCAAAGTTTTAAGCCTACCTGACGGGATTTTAAGGATGGTGGTGGTGAATTACTTCTTGGTTTAGGAATACTATCAATCAACTCTAAAACTCGTCTAAGTTTTTGGTCTGAGATGCAAACTGAAAGTAAAGCAAGTCCACCATAAATTTTAAACCTATTTAAGAAAAAAGAAACAGTACATTAGATACTTAAATCAACATATGCAAAACCACTTTCATTTTCTAATGGGAACTTCATTTCATCTCTAAATGTTTTACTCGTTTCAAAATTGTGTGTTCAACAAAGAGCATCCCATCTCAAGACATAGGTGGAAAGATATTTCTACAGACTGGATCATTAATAAATGGGCAAGAGAGATGGTTAAACATAGCACCATTGTTAGACGAATTCAGAGACACGGTCACACCACCAGTCAGGAGCAAGCTGGGAGATAAGCTATGGGTGACTGCCGGTCAGTCTAAGTGAAACATGCAGATTGGTCAACCCCTGCGCTGTCTGTTTAGCCTTTCCATATGAACTAATCCCTTCCTCCCAATGGTATGTGCGCATCACCTCTGAACTGCTTCTAGTACAAAACTGTTCACAATAGTCTAAATATGGATTAAATATCACCGGGGTCAGCTGCAGTAAGACTACTCTACTTTTATAAAAACCGAAAGAACTGCGCATGCTGTAAATCAGGAACAAAAGCAAAGTTGCTGGAAAAGCTCAGCAGGTCTGGAGCATCCATGAAGGAAAAAAGAAGAGTCAACCTTTTGGGACCCTGCCGAGGAAGGGTCACTGGACCCGAAACGTTAACTCTTTTTTCCTTCACTGATGCTGCCAGACCTGCTGAGCTTTTCCAGCAACTTTGTTTTTGTTACTCTACTTTTACACGCAATTCCGCTTGCAATAAAATCTATTTGCCACACAAGCTACACAGCTTTTCAAGGTTGCTCGACTACTCAATAAAATCATGACTGATCAATGTGTGTTTCAAATTCTTCACTACCATCCCACCATCTCCTCCCTAGTATCCTTTCATCCCTTTACCTAATTATAATCTGGCTACATCAGTCTTTAAAATATTCAATGATCCCCATTTCCAGTTCCTCCTAATGCACAGTATGTTCCAAAGTACCACAAGTCTTTGAGAGAAAAGAACAATTCCCTTTATCTGTCTTGAACAGGATAGCCCCCAATGTTAAAATACAGTATCTTCAAGTTCTGAGCTCAGTTAGAACAGCAAACATTCTTTCCATGCCCATCTTGTCAAGATCACTCAGAATCTTATAAACTTTAATTAGATCACCCTAGCTCTTTTAAACGCTAATGAAAACTTGTCCAATCTTTCTTATTAAGCTAACCCACTCATTGCAGGAATCAATCTAGGAAACCTCCACTGAACTCCCCCCAACACATTTACAGCCTTCTTCAATAAGGTTCCAAAACTGACACAGTATTTAAGTTTAAAAAACCCAGAGAACTGCAGATGCTCAAAATCAGAAATAACTGCTGGGAAAAAATTAGCAGGTCAGGCAGCATTTGTGGAGAGAAAGTAGAGTTGATGTCACTGAACCTGAAACCCATCTTCAGAACTGATTATTGCTAAGAAAAGGTTGGGTGTGGGGGGGGGGGGGGGGGGGGAAGAAAGTAATAATTAATAGATTGCTGCCTGACCTGCTGAGTTTTTCCAGCAATTTCCAATTTTGTGCAGTATTCAATATGCGGTCTCCCAATGCACTGTGTAACTAGGGGATCCCACTCGTCACATCCAAGCTACCCACTTCAAGAGCAATTAGGGATTGCAACAAATGCTGGTTTTGCCTGCTATACTCTCACAATGTTCTTACTAAACTGCACGGCCTCAGAGGTCTGTGCAGTGGATAAGAAAATCAGAGGGATTTGATTTTGATTTCATTACTGGCAAGAATACAATAAAATACAGTGAAAAGCTATCGTTTGTCGCCATGATACGGTGCCAATTAGGATAATTTTAGAATAAGAAAGATCTAGCTTGAAGAGAGTCCATCAGTCCTGAGCCAGATCATCACCGTCAATGATGCCTGTGCTGCCACTAATTCGATCCCATTTACACTGGACACAACCAACATCGAAGTTGCCACTCCTTAGATGCCAAATTTGCCATTGGGCCTATACTCCTCCGCCACCTACTCGACCCAAACAATGTCAGAGTCATGTCTCTCACTGCTGGGCCCACCTCATCGACACTGCCATGATGCCCTTCCACCACTGCTGTGCTGCCACCAGCATTGGAGCAAACCAAGAACAAAGTCACCAATCCTTGCATGCCATCTCTTGCCACTGGCCTACCTTGTTGACGTTGCCTCTGCTGATATTGTAGCCACCGATTGCAGGTCCTATGCCTGCTCTGGAAAAGTAAGTAGGGGCTCACTCAAGGTCTGTGCTGGGCCCAGTCTCCTCCCCATCCTTGCCTGCTTGAGGACTGTGTAGGCCTGTCTTGAGATCGATGAGGTCCACACCTTGGGTCATATCAAGGTCTGTGCTAGGCTCACTCATAGCCCGTGGTAGGCCTGCCTAATGTCCCTGTCCTTGGCCCTGCTCCAGATCCGTCAAGATCTGTGTCCTATGCTCTCACTGCCGCCAGACAAAGTTGCCGCCTCCACGTCCAAGCTCAGGACAAGGTCAGTACGTTTTAAAAAAAAAGAAAAAGGGGGAAAAAAAGCAGTTGGAGCAGATGAGCTCCAGCACAGCAGCCCTACTCTGCATTATTTTGGACTTGAACAGGTCTAATACCCGGTGCTTTCATCCCATGACATATGCAACTTCAAGTTAATTCAGCTTTTTTTTTTAAAATTCATTCATGGGATGAGCGAGTCACTGGCTAGGCCAGCATTTATTGCCCATCCCTAATTGCCCAGAGGGCAGTTAAGAGTCAACCACATTGCTGTGGATCTGGAGTCACATGTAGGCCAGATCAAGTAAGGATAGCAGTTTCCTTCCCTAAAGAACATTAGTGAACCAGTTTTTCCCAACAATTAGCAATGCATTCATAGTCATCATTAGACTCTGAATTCCACATTTTTATTGAATTCACATTCTACCATCTACTATGGCAGGATTCCCTGGGTCCCCAGAACATTTCCTGGGTTTCTGGATTAACAGGCCAGCAACAACACCACTAGGCTGTTGCCTCCCCTGTTAGGGCCCGCCTCAGGACCACTCCCTGGTTCATGATACCACGAAGAATGAATCAGATTGTTTGGTGGTTGGCATTTGTGACACTGGAGACCTCAGAAGAACAGATCATACAGACCGCTCTACAGAAGGTGAATGCAAATGCTTCAGCAAGATGAGTCAACTGACTATGGCACCATGGTCCAGGAGGCCATTCAAGAGGGGGGAGCAAAAAGACAGATTGTAGTTGTAGGTGATTCCATCATCAGGGGGATAGACAGTATCCTCTGCGAGCAGGATAGAGAATCCCGCATGGTGGGTTGCCTGCCCAGTGCCAGGGTGCAAGACATCTCTGACCGGCTTGAGAAGATATTAGAGAGGGAGGGGGAGGATCCAGTTGTAGTCCATGTAGGTACCAACAACATAGGCAGGACTAGGAAAAAAGACCTGTTTCGGGATTATGAAAAGCTAGGAACAAAATTAAAAAAAGGGTCAATCTCTGGATTGCTGCCCAAGCCACGTGCAAATTGGCATTGGGAGGCGAGGATCAGGGAAGTAAACACGTGGCTAAAAGACTGGGGTGGGAAAGAGGGTTTCCTTTTCATGGGGCACTGGCATCAGTTCTGGGACAGGAGGGATCTATACCGCTGGGATGGACTCCACCTGAACAGGGCCGAGTCCAGTGTTCTGGCGAAAAGGGTAAATAGGGTGGTTAATAGGACTTTAAACTAGTAAGTGGGGGGTGGGGGTGGGGGTGGCGGGAAGAGGGAGAAGTGAGCGTAGAGGGAGAATAACAATTGATGTAAGGCAAAGCAGCAGGTTAGCAGGTGACAAGGAAGCTTCAACTCCATTGAAAGTTAGGAAAAAAGTTAAAGGGAAGGAGAACTCAAGAGCTGCTAGTAATAGGACCCAAAAAGAAGGTGCAAAAACTGGCATAAGGGCACTTTATCTGAATGCTCGGAGCATTCAAAACAAGGTGGATGAGTTGACGGTGCAAATCATGGCAAATGGGTGTGATTTAGTGGCCATTACAGAGACATGGTTACAGGACGGTCATGACTAGGAGTTAAATATCCAGGGGTAACAAACTGTTCGGAAGGACAGACAGGAAGGTAAGAGAGGTGGTGTTGCTCTGATTTTTAAGGATGATATCAGGGCGGTAGAGAGAGATGATATAGGTTCTACTGAACAAAATGTTGAATCCATTTGGGTGGAAATTAGGAATAGCAGGGAGAAGAAGTCACTGATAGGTGTGGTCTATAGGCCACCAAATAATGACATCGTGGTGGGGCGGGCAATAAACATAGAAATAGCTAATGCATGTAAAAATGGTACAGCAATTATCATGGGGGATTTTAATCTACATATCGATTGGACAAACCAGGTCGGTCATGGCAGCCTTGAGGAGGGGTTCATAGAATGCATCCGCGATAGTTTCCTTGAACAATATGTAATGGAACCTACGAGGGAGCAAGCTATCCTAGATCTAGTCCTGTGTAATGAGACAGGAATAATTAATGAACTCACAGTTAGGGATCCTCTCGGAAGGAGCAATCACTGTATGGTCGAATTTAAAATACAGATGGAGTGTGAGAAGGTTAAATCCAGTACTTATGTCCTGTGCTTAAACAAAGGAGACTATGAAGGAATGAGGGAGGAGTTAGCTAAGGTAGAATGGGAGCAAAAACTTTATGGTGGGTCAATTGAGGGCTTTCAAAACGATTTTCCACAGTGCTCAGCCGAAGTATATACCAGTGATAAGGAAGAACTGCAGGAAAAGAGAGCGCCAGCCATGGATGTCTACGGAAATAAAGGAAAGTATCAGATTGAAAAAAAAACATACAAAAAAGCAAAGAGTAGTGGGAAACTAGTAGACTGGGAAATCTTTAAAGGCCAACAGAAAGCCACAAAAAAGGTTATAAAGAAAAGTAGGATAGATTTTGAGAGTAAACTAGCTCAGAATATAAAAACAGGCAGCAAAGGTTTCTATAAATATGTAAATCGTAAAAGAGTGGC